GAGGTTGTGTGTATTGATGGCTGGGCTCGGTATAATATGTCATGAGCTGCTCTGCTAGTATGCGTCGCTGTGTTCTGATGTATTGTTGTGATATGTTATGTGATGCTGTGTGGTGACATGATATGTTATGTCAAGGTATGTCATATTATGCTCGGGTGAGTTATCTCGTATTGTGTTATGCTGTCTGCTGGTATGTAATATGCTGCTCTGTTTACGTATGTGACGTTATGAGAAGCTCTGGTTCGTCATAACGTTGCAATGTTATGGTCTGTAATGTTATGTCATGCTCGTGTCTTGATATGTCCTGTTATGCTGTGGCATGGTATGTTCTGTCGTATTCGTCGTCGCTATGTTCTGCTGTCGTGTTATGATGTGTTCTGGAATGCTGTGTTACGGTATACGATGTTCCGTCCAGGTGTGTTGTGCTATGCTCGGGCATTGTATGGTATGGTGTGGTCTGTCGTCTTATGTTATGGCATGGTCTGGCCTGCCATGGTGTGTGATGATATGATATGCTGTATTGTGGCATGGCATTGCTATGTTATGTTATGCCACAGTCTGGAATGATCGTGCTCTGTTATGGCATGTTATCTTGCGCCATGCCATGTTATGTCATGCTCTGTTCCGCTGTGCCATGCTGTGTTCTGTTCTGTTGTGTGCTGTCGTGCTCGTCGAGGGCGCGAGGCGGGACGCCCGGGACCCTCGGGGATCATCGGGACAGCGTAGGGTCTGGCGGCCACGGCATGCAGGCTGGGCTTGTCCAGGCGCGAAGCAGGGCAAACCCAGGACTCGGGGACCATCGGGACCACTTGCGGTCTGGTGGCCGCGGTATGCGTGGGGTTGGCCCGGGGGGCCCGTTCTCGGAATCGGTCCGCCCCCATTTAGTGTCGGGTGGGGGAGCACGACGGGAACCCTGAGCCCATCTTTCTGCTGCACTGTTCGGGTTTTCCCGGGCCATGGGGGTCCTGCCCCAGCCCCGGCCCCCCTGACCTTACAGGAGTGTTCAAAAACAACACCATGGACCGAGATACCCCAAATTCCAGTCGAGGTATAACCAGTGCAGATATAGGTCTATCGGCTTGAAACGCTGCCACTTCTGAGCACTCTGGAAAGTCAGGGTCTGCAGGGGGGGCCCCCGTGCTCCGCCTTCCCTGGCTCGGGGTCCGACCCCGGCCATGGCCCCAGCCCCGGGCCCCCGCCCCCGGCCCTGCAGGCCCCCGCCCCTGCCCCGTCCCTGCCTGACCCCGGCCACGGCCCCCGAGCCCCGGCCCCGAGCCCCCAGCTCCGGCTCCGGCCCCCCGCCGATTCCTGGCCGAGCCGCGACCCCGGCCCCGGGCCCGGCCCCAGCCCCTGCCGACCCCAGCCCCTGCCCCGCTTAGAGGCTGGAGCTTCTTGTGCTACTTGAGGACTGGTTGTGGCTTGGGCTGAAGTCACTCTTGTTCGGGTGTGAGGGGCGCAAGTTGTGGAAGAATTGTGTAAGTGATGTTAGTGTTTGCTCGGTTTTGTAACTACACTCGTGCTACTTAGAAGTGTGCATTTTCTTTCAGGCAGCGAGCTGAAAATAGCACTAAGTGACTTAGCTTTTCTTAGTAGTACGTGACTTCGCCCTACTTGCTGGCACTTCTGCAGAACTTAAGCCTATCAGCCCCCATCCGGGACTCGCGCGCCTGGAATCGGTTCCCCTACCTAATAGTTGATGCTTCACGTATCCCCACCAGCACATGGTACGTCTCAAGGCGCTACAAGGGCTTGGCTTCGCGTAAGGTGAAGACTGGCGTGCACCTTACCCGCTCCTGGTACTTCCTGATGTCGGGCCTGGCAAGGGCGTGTTCCTGCACGAGTGGTTCATCCTTTGGCAGGTCATCGCTGTTCCCCTGGCAGGCCCTTCTTGCAGGTGCCTCGGTCAGCGCTTGCAACTTTGTGCCCCCGATCTTCAGCGTCGGATAAGTTGCACGCAGTGGACACAGGCGGGAAGTGACGCTACGTTCGCTGACTGGTTATCCTTCGCTCTCGCGTTCAAGAGCGGCAGACCCGACGTCTGCGAAAGTGAGTCACCGTGAGTGAGGCCCCCTCTGAGCCGTTTCCTATTTTCCTGTCGTTGGATGCCCGTCTGGCGTCCGCTGCGACTCTCCTGTTCCCTCTTGCCTCGCTTCCGTGTGTCTAGGCCGGAGTTTGGTACCGACAAGGCCGCTTCTCCGTGCTGCTACAGTACGGTCCGTGCCCCGTGCCTTTTCCTGGTGTGGTTCGGCTGGAGTTTGGCGCCGTAAGGGCGACTTCTCCTATCGGTCCACCGCCGGTGCCGCGCTTGCGTCCCCACCCGCTGGGATGTTTGCGACGGTCCCACACAATGAGGGTCACTTTGTCCCTGGCATGTGCACTCGCTTCAGCGGCCTACGTGTCTCTGCAGCCAATTATCTCGCTCTGTGCCCCAGACGTTAATCCCGCTCCCTGGATCTGTCCTTCGAGCCGTCCGACCAAAAAAGTGTCCCCACCAGCCCATCCAGAAACGATGTCCAGGGGAGTTGAGGTCATCAGGGAAGCGGGGGAGCATGTAGAACAACAAAGTGCGGGGGAAGCTGTCATATACCCCAAGAGGGAGAGGATGGAGGAGGGATCGTCGTCGTCGGAAGGGAGAGGACGACGAGGGCGAGCAAGGAGGAGAAGGAGAAGAGGGAGGATAATGAGGATAAGGAGGAGAAGGAGGGGAACGAGGAGGAGGAGAAGGAGGAGGGTGAGGAGGAGGAGGAGAAGGAGGACGAGGACAAGCAGAATAACCAGAAGCATCTTGAATGCCTCTCGGATGTCTCTTGGAAGCCTCTTGGAGGCCTCTTCGGGCGTCTTGGGTGCTTCGGGGAGGCCTCGACCCCCCCCGAGGTCCGCCACGTGCCGTCGACGAGGACGAGAACGAGGACGACGAGGACGGGGGAGGCCCGAGGGGGGCCCCGAGGGGAGCCCCGAGAGGCCCCGACCCCCACCGAGGTCCGCCCCGTGCCGTCGACGAGGACGAGGACGAGGACGACGAGGACTGGGGAGGCCCGAGGGGGCCCGACCCCCCCCGAGGTCCGCCACGTGCCGTCGACGAGGACGAGGACGAGGACGAGAACGACGAGGACGAGGGACCCCGAGGGGAGCCCCGAGGGGGGCCCCGACCCCCCCCGAGGTCCGCCCCGTGCCGACGACGAGGACGAGGACGAGGGGCCCGACCCCCCCCGACGAGGGACCTCGGGGGGGGGCCGGGCCCCCCCCCCCCGGGGCCTCCCTCGTGGCCTCTCTCGGCCCCCCCCCCGTCCTCGTCGTCTTCGTCCTCGTCCTCGTCCTCGTCCTTGTCGACGGCACGCGGCGGACCTCGGGGGGGGTCGGGGCCCCCCTCGGGGCCCCCTCGTCCTCGTCGTCCTCGTCCTCGTCCTCGTCCTCGTCGACGGCACGGAGCGGACCTCGGATGGGTCGGGCCCCCCCTCGGGGCCCCCCTCGGGCCTCCCCCGTCCTCGTCGTCCTCGTCCTCGTCCTCGTCGACGGCACAGAGCGGACCTCGGGTGGGTCGGGGCCCCCCTCGGGGCCCCCCTCGGGCCTCCCCCGTCCTCGTCGTCCTCGTTCTCGTCCTCGTCGACGGCACGGGGCGCACCTCGGGGGTGGTCGAGGCCCCCCCGAAGCACCCAAGACGCCCAAGAGCCCCCTTGACCGCCGAGAGACCCCAAGACGCCCGAAGAGGCCTCCAAAAGGCTTCCAAGAGACATCCGAGAGGCATTCAAGATGCTTCTGGCTATTATGCTGGTCCTCGTCCTCCTCCTCCTCCTCCTCCTCCCCCTCCTCCTCCTCCTCCTTCCCTATCGTACTCCTTCTCCTCATTATCCTCCTTCTCCTCCTTCTCATCCTTACTCGCCCTCCTCGTCCTCGCCCTTCCGACGACGACGATTCCTCCTCCATCCTCCCCCTCTTGGGGTATATGACAGCTTCCACCGCACTTTCTTCTGCATGCTCCCCCTCCTTCTCCTCCTCTCCTCCTTCTGCCTGCACCTCCTCCTCCTCCTCTTCCTCCTCCTCGCCCTCCTCGTCTGAACAAGTTAGCGGTAGTTATATAAGTATGTCCTGAGTAGTAACTTGCACATGCCACCCTAGGCTAAGTTACTTGAGGTACTTTTCGATAAGCTGAACTAAGAAGCGCCAGCCTCTGGGTGGCCCCGGCCCTGGCCCTCCCGGCCCCAGCCTGCGTCGTTCGTCGTTCCACATCGATCGGTATCGTCGTTATCGGTCGTCGTCGGTCGTCGGCCGTCGGTCATCGCTCGCCGTGAATCGTCCATCGTCGTCGTCACTCGTCGTGGTCGTAATTGCCGTCGATCCTCGTCAATGGTCGTCGTCGATATTCCATCGACATTTGTCGTTCGTCGTCGTCGTCGTATGCCTGGCCGAAATCTTCGACATCGTCGGAAACGCCCCAGATCGGCGGCACTGGCCGGAGGCCAGCACAAGAGAGGAACAAACAACTATGTAAATCGGAGGTCCGCGCAGTGGATACGCTGAAACCCCCTCTCCCCAGCGCACGGGGCGAGCCAGGGGCGGCGCAGGAGGCGCCGCCAGGGTGGTCCACGGTCGATCCACGAAATCATCGCGGAGCTGGAAGCGAAAGTTTACCTTCAGCAGAGGCCTCCTACATGGGATCCGACTAGATGGGGTCGGAGGATCGCGCCGCATCGCCGATATATCGGCGATGCACCGGCGATGCACCGGCGATGCACCGGCGATGCGTCAGCGACGGCGGCGATGCATCGGCGAAGTCGACGTGAAGCACATCGGGCCCCACATCGAGCCGCACCCTCGATGCATCGCCGAGGCGGCGCGGTCCTCCGACCCCGCCTGCTCGGACCCCATCTGCAGGAGGCCCAGACTGATGCCATCCGCTCGTCCTCGGCCGACCGCTGCGCACGGCGACGCGCCTCCTCCCCCCCCGTCCCCCGCCGGCGGCCGACGCCCCCGCCGCCCCGCGGGCCGACGCCGGCCTGCCTTCAGCAGGCCGCGGCGGTCAGCGCCTCGGGGCCTGGCGTCCGCGGCGGCCGTCCTCCTCGTCAAAGGCCCTCGGCCCTGCGCTCTCTCCTCCCGCTCCCGCCCCTGGCCCCCCCTGACCCTCCAGAGCGCGGAACAAGAAGAGCACCCCGGGCTGGACTAGACCTGCCTGGACCGCCTCAAAACCTCGGCTGGGATCTGGGTATCGAGGTCCGGGTGGTGTTCAGTGGCCCTCCTGGAAGGTCAGGGCCTCTTCCCCGGTGCCCTGTTCGCAGCTGGTTCGGGAGCGGCCAAGAGGGGGGTGCCCAAGAGGGGGGGGTGCAAATCATGACCAGCAGCATGTGCGCGGTCCAGCGGGGGGGCCAGGGACGTAGTGAAATAAGAAGAGGCGCCATGAGATCTGGGGAGATATCATGGCCCCCGCCATGATATCCACCCCCCCCTAGTCATCACCCCCCTCTTTTCCGCCCCCGAGCTGGTGGCGGGCAGCTGCTCGCGGGCGCGCCCAAGCCGGGGCGCGCCCCCGCGCCTGGCTGCCCCACTGGGCCGGCATCGGGGCGCCAACGGCCTCGAGGGCCAACTGCTGAGGCCAGTCCAAAAGAAAACCGTCCCCCAGAAACCCAACCCGAGGAGGGAGGAGGAGGAGGAGGAGGAGGAGGAGGAGGAGGAGGAGGAGGAGGAGGAGGAGGAGGAGGAGGAGGAGGAGGAGGAGGAGGAGGAGGAGGAGGAGGAGGAGGAGGTGGAGGACGTCCACTGCTTTTTGGCGTGGGCGCGTCACGCTTCCCGCCGCACAGCCATCGAAGCCCAAGAAACCCAGGGCACCCTGGAGGCAAGCAGGGTGAAGCCCAAGAAACCCAGGGCACCCTGGAGGCAAGCAGGGTGTTTCTTGGCATGGGTCTCCAAATGTGTGCGCCTCGCGTTCCCGGACCCGTTCACACCGACCGCCCGCTCCACCCGATGGGGCTCCATCACCCGCACGCCCCAGCTTTGGGTGCCGACAGCACGCCCCCCAATCCCCCCGCCAGAGACGCGAGGCCGACAGGGCGGAGGGAGGAAGAGGGCACGCAGCAACGAAGACAGCAGCACCACGGCAAGGGAGGGTGGCAGGGAGACGGCAGGGGCGGGACAGAGCGGCGTCGCGGCAGAGGGCAGGGGGGGGCAGAACCCAACAGCAGAGGCGACGAGGAGAGGAGCAGGCAGGGAACCCCGGACGGGAAGCAGCCCAAGGGACCCCGTGGCGGCGGGAATGGAATGCATGAGCTGAGGCCGCCAGCGACCCACACGCCCCAACAAGGGGTAGGAGGCAAACCCCCAAGAACCACACCAGGGAGGCCAGCAACACGCATCGCGCAGCCGCGGCCAGCAAGCAGCAGCACGGAGGCAACAGAACAGCGCAGGAGCAGCGCAGCCAGGTTAAGCAGGACCGAGCAAACACGCCAGGACAGCAAGCGGCAGGGCAGCGGCCAGCGGGGGGGCAGCACAGGGCCACAGACACCTGGGGCGGCGGATAATGAACATCAACACCATGATCCTGTGGCCGCGACCGCGGCTTCACACGCCTGGCCAAAAAACACCAGCCTCGGGAGGTACCATCCACCGTCGGTGCCCACATGCAGCTCACTGGCGCCGCACGCGCTTGCCTTCACAGGTCTCCAGCAGATGGGCCAGCGTGGCCCTGTACTTCCCACGCCATGGACAATCGGCGGGCGCGGAGCCCAGGCCGCCGCGACCCCACTCCACCAGCGGAACACAACCCATCACCCTTGCAATCATCCAGGCGCGGGAGCACTTCCAAATGCGCTGGCCCCACGGCACCAATCAGAGGAACTGCGGGAACGGCGACGGCGCCGGGACCAGAACGACGCGCGGCGTGCCGCCTTCCGCCAGCAGGGCCGCCAGCTGCTCGCGAAACTGCTCCTCTTCCGCGCGCCGACTTGCAGGGATTACCACGGCGCGCTTCCACTGCGCCACAACCGCGCGGCAGCCCGCCCGGTCACCCTGGTCCACAGATGATAGCTCGCGCGCCACATGCCGCGGGGTTATGCCGAAGCTCCTCGCGATGGCGTCCGCGCTATCGCACCAGGTCTCTCCTGTAACGGTTGCTGCTCCAGCCGGGGGCGCGCAAACCTGGATTTGTGATCCATGGATTTGGCGCGCGGGCGCCAAATTCATGGATCAAAGGAGGTGCCCTCTCCAAAATGCGGTCGGTGCCGCCACGGTCGGCGGCGGAAATCTGCGATTTCCCATGGAAACGGGACCCTCGCTAATCCACGCCCCCTTAATCCATGTTTGCGATCGCCTGCATCACCGGGAAGGCGCGCGACGCGGGCACGCGACGTCACAATCATCTAGATCAGGGTCGCCACCAAGCGCGCGAATGAGCGTGATTTGGTGAAGCGGCGCACATGGCCTCTGGCGTCAAGGGGCACGCTGGGGCGGAGGCTCAACACGACCTTGGCAGCGGAGCACATTGCCGAATTTACACGCCAAGCTGCATCTGCCCACCCATCACCGTAGCACGTGCACGCAGGCAGGTAACTCGCCTCCATGGGGCGCCGCTGGCAGGACCCGATTCCTGACTTGCGCAAGTGAGCGAAGGGAGACCGAAGCCTAAATTCGCAATCGACGTCACCCTTCCCTCCGCCTGCGAGACGATCATGGCGCGAGTGCGGTCCAGCAGCGGCTGGAAAAAAAGGTTCTGGTCGACCACAGTAGCCAGCACGTCCACTGCGGCACAACCTACAAACGTCCCGCCCCCCACCGACCCAAAGCAACCCACGAAACCAGGCACCGAACCAGCCAGCAGGACCGCCGGTCGTTGATCGCCGCCTTGTAACGTACGGCAACGCACGCCGCGCGGATGCCCGTCACCGAAGTCTGCAGCAGAAAGGTGTCATCAGCAAACTGGGCGAATCCAACACGGTGCGGCGACATGGTTACCAAGGACAGCTGCTGACTCCCCCCAGCCAGGGAGCGCATGTACTCTGGCGAACACGGCCGGCGATGCGTTCCAGCAAGCGCGGCCTCTAGCCGGACCCGTGGCCACACGATCTCAACAGACCCACCCCCCGCTGGGCTGCCCGCCCATTGCCACGTCAAGACTGCCCGCGGCGGCGGGTCTACGCCAGCGCCCACCACACCACATGGCCCTGGATCTCCAGTGCCAATGCGCGCAGGAACACTTCCAAGAGGCGACGTCCAAGCCGACGGCCTTGGCGAGCACCGCAGTCTGCGAAGCACACGACTTCCCAAAGCAGGGGCCCCAAACGGACGCGAATGGGCTCGTCGCCGAGGGCAGAAGCGGCAAGAGGCCACCTCCTCCCCCGGACGCCGCTGTCCCAGCGTAGAAGCGCGACGGCGTCGTTTACCAGCCTGGAACATATCCCTATCCCTATGCCGGGCACCTCCTCATCGCGATGCCAGTCTTAGGGATCCCCTTCTTTTTTGAGGGCGAATCCCTAAGGTTGTCATCGCCTTTTGGCGTGCCAATCTTTGGGATAAGGACACGTTCGAGGCTGGTCATCCGTCGAGGCCATGTCGAAGCCACTCGCGAGGTCCAGCGCGCCGCGCTCGAAGCGCAGCTGCACTCCCAAGCGGCACACAGGACGACGCCCCATTGCCCTCGGCCTTCTCTCGCCTCCAATGAGCCTCTCCAGCTCCAGGCGCAACACTTGCAACCACGATGCGTACAGGACGCCCACCATAGGGGGCAAAGAAACCTATCTCGCTTTTGACCACCCTCGCTTCCAAGAGACACCAAGCGATGCCAAACTGCGGCCTGTACTGGTCAGGCCGCTTGACGAGGAGGCGCGTGGTATGACTTGGTTTTGCCTGGAAGCGAAAGCGGGGTAGGCAATTCACGCTCGACACCAGTTCGTCAACCAGGCTGAGCGGGCGCAGGTGGCACGTGCTCGACGCCACCCGGGGCCCCCGCTTGCGGGCAGGTGGAATCCCTCGGGCCCACCCTGTAGCAACTAACCCAAAGACAGCAGCAGAGCTGGGCACCGCCCACGTGACCAGCAGGCCTGCTGGCGCCTCACCGGCTTGTCGAGGCAAACGCTGCCTCGCCTTACCCACGTCGATTGTGCTGACGAGTGCGCAGACCTGGAGGCCTCCCGGATGGGGCCCGAATAGATGAGCCCTAGGCGGCCCAAAAAGACCGTCGCCAGCGAGAACGGGAGCGAACAGGTTCCTCGGCCGACGCCTGCAGGGCTTCCTGCCGATCCCGGCGCAGCTGGCCGCGCACCCAACGATTCGTGGCAGGGCCACCCGGCGCTGCGGCCGCACCGCGGCGGAGGACATTCTCGGTCAACGCGCCACGGACACCCCCGTGGCGAACCGAGAGGCCTCCTCCTCTTCTCCTCCTTCACACTCCTTCTCCTCCTCCTCCTCCTCCTCATCCTCCCTCCTCCTCCTCCTCCTCCTCCTCTTCTTCCTTCTCTTCCTCCTCCTCTTCCACCTCATAAGCGTCACCGTCCTCATCGTCAGTTGGAGACCCACCGCCGGGCCAACGGGCGGCGCGAGCGCAGCCAACACGTGAACACCGCATCCGCGTGTCCACTGCCCTCCAGAACTATCCGGCAATAGGCGTCCAAGTGCCGCGGGAAGGGGGGCGTCGCGTCCTAGGCGCCGTCGCAACTGGTGGCCGACAGAGACGCGCCCCGCAGGCGGTCTCGGTGGTGTGCACACAACCAGTCCATCATAGTGCCCACATAGCGTGTAGACGGCACGCCACCAAACAACTTTCTCCAAACTCCGCTGGCGCACCACACGTGTTCTCCCCTTCGCGGCCCACGCGCGGAGCTGCTGGGCGTGCGCGGCACACCTGGCCCAGCCAGCCTCGAACTGGAGAGACAGCGGCGGCAATGATGGTGCGGCGTCCGCGTCTCCATCCGCACCCTCTCTCGTCCGGCCTGTCGGGTGAAGCGGCGGCATATTCAGAGGATTCGCACATCATATCAACGCGCGCGTGGTCACTCCGCACACCGCCCTCGCAAGGGCCGCCCACCCGCTCACGTAGACGGATTCCGTGGCTTGCAGCAACCACATCGATGGCCCAACAAGAGCTACGCTTGGGTTGCCCCGAAGTGCTCCAGACGGGGCACGCCATGCCGTGCGGCTCCTCTTTCTCCTCCTCCCCCTCCTCCTCCTTCTCCTATTGCCGGAGGTCCTCCTCCTCCTACTCCGCCACCTGCTCCTGGGGATCCTCCTCCCGCCTTCCCGTGCTTCTCCTTACGACCACCACCTCTTCATGCTCGCTGTTGCCCAAGAGGGACCAAAGAGGGCCCCCCCGAAGGGAAACTCGAACTGACAGTACCCGCATACCACCCTAAAAAGACTCCCGAGACTGCCAGCAGGACCCCGAGGATCCCCAGAAACCCGAGGAGGCACCCAAGAAGCCCAAATCAGGCCCCAAGAGGCCCCAAGACACCTCCAAAGCCGCATCCAAAAGCCCTCTGATAGACCTCACAAGAGATCCACACCGGCATCCAAAAGGCCTCGGACCCACAACCCGCACACACACACACACACACACACACACACACGGTGGTGGGATGGGCCGAAGGCCACTAGATATCCACCGCTCCCTCTGGCTTGACACAAAGGTTCACGGCGTGCCACGTGGCAGGTTGTTTGGGTCCCTGTAGAAATTCCCAGTGAAGTCTCGGCCGATCGCGCCGGCCTCCCGAAAGCCGCATACAAAAAGCGTGCATCGTTGCCCAACTCGCCTCCAAGACGCTCCAGATGTCCTCCAAGATGCCTCCAAGACGGCTAACATGGCCCCAAGAGCGCACCAAATGGCCCCAAGCCAAGACGGCCCCAGATGCACCCACGACGGCCTCAACAGGGCTCCAAGAGGACCTACAGGAGGCCAAACTCATCGATTCTCCCTTCAGGCGCCCCCACGAGGCTCCCCGAGAAGCCCCCAGGAAGCCCCGAGACGGCCTCAGGAGGCATCCTCTTCTTCATATTATCATTGTATTTATGTGTTATTATTATTATTATTCTGATGATTAGTGCCATCATAACCATTATGACTCATTTTCTTCTGATCATGATTAGTTGTCTCCCTCGCTCTCTTCCTCCCTCGACTCCTCGTCTCTCCTCTGCTCCCGAGAACACCCAAAAATGGTGTTCCACAGCGACTGCGGGAACACACATGATCAAAACATACGTTGGCCAGACTCCAGCCCAAAACGCTTGGCCGCACGGGCGTTTTTCGAACAGGCAGGGGTGGGCAGTGACTCGCGGGAAGTAGATGCCATCGATCCGAACAGCAGTGGCGAGACAACAAAAACCTGGGCCGCTTCCACTCCAGGCTGCCAGATCGAGGATGAGGGGGAAGGGGCGTACGTACTCGAGCAAAGATCAGGAAACGCATGACGAGGAGCGAGCGACGAGGGTGACAGGAAACGATCAGAGGGAGGTGAGATGCGGGAGGGAGGGGGGAAGGGAAAAGAGGGGGGAAGGGCAATATTGGTGCGCTCGAACCACGGGACATCAAACAGTACTCTCCTATCCCTTACCATGGAGTTGAGCCCCCTCATCAAGGGTCGAAGAAAACATGAATCCCGAAAAAACGACGTTGTCCTGAAACATGGCAAACTGTAAAACGGGAGCGAACACCAGGTCGTTGTCTCGGAACGGGCAGCGCGGCGGCGAGAACAGACGCTCGGATGAGGTCAGCGATGCGGCAAGAGCGACGTAAATGTAGCGAAGCAATCCGAGCACGAATGGCGCGTCGCCGAGAACATTGCGCATACCAACCACAACGCGTGCGACAAAACAGTATGCGGACAATCCCGTGTCAGACCCCAGAAGGGGCAATGCACGGCGTGGGCGGCGGCACGTGGAGACGGCACCCGGGGAGGTGAGGAGAGACACAGTCATACCGAGTAAGAGTAAACGAGGGGGCCCAGGGACACACAAATAAATGGACACAAATCCAACGATCCCCCATATTTCCCTGTAGTTTCATGGTTCTCGTCTCCCCCCCCACTTCCCATATGCTCAAGGAGTTTCCTGGGAGTCGAGGATTCATTGTGTCTGCCTGTGTTTGTTTGTGTTTTCCCTCCTGAGGAAAGGGAGGATGAGAAGAGAGGAGGGAGAAGAGGGAGAAGAGGGGAAGAAGAGAGGAAGGGGGAGCGGGAGACGAAGGAGGAAGACGGGAGGGCAGGAGCCGGCCAGGTGCACCTGGGCTGGCGGGAGACTGGCCGCGAGAGGCCCCTGCAGGCCAGGAGAGGCCCTTGCCAGGAGGAGGAGGAGGAGGAGGAGGAGGAGGAGGGGGAGGAGGACGAGGAGGAGGAGGAGGAGGAGGAGGAGAAGGAGGAGGAGGAGGAGGAGGAGGAGGAGGGGGAGGACCTCCTCATTTTCCCTTCTCCCCCGTCCCACACGTGGAGGAGGAGGGGAGGAGGAGGAGGAGGAGGAGGAGGAGGAGGAGGAGGAGGGAGGAGGAGGAGGAGGAGGAGGGAGGAGGAGGAGGGAGGAGGGGAGGGGAGGAGGAGGAGGAGGAGGGGGAGGACCTCCTCCTTTTCCCTCCTCCCCCGCCCCACACCTGGCGGTGGTGGTGGCGGGACATCTGCCCCGAGGCCGAGCAGCGGCCTCCTCGAGTTCCGCGACTCCCGTCTGGCTCCCCCGTGCCGCGCGGAAGCTAGGCTCATGGGCGGCGCCCCCCGGCCGCGGGGCGGCAGGCAGCCCCGGAGAGCGCTCCCGGCGAGGCGCAGGTGAAGGGGCCCCAGGACGCACAAATTCGCCGGCCCAACGGGCCAGAGGCGTGATAAGATCTCCGGTAACTACTTAACAACATTTCTAGTTCGCGCGCGCGGGGCGGACCCTGGGGGGCCCCGGACGAAAAGTACCCCGGCCGATCCCCGGCTGACCCCCGGGCGATCCCCAGGGGGGAGGCTACTTTTCGCCACCCCTCACGAGGATCGTGGCCTCCGAGGGGTGGGCTGCCAACGACTACCCTCCCTCCCGCCCCAAGGGGCCCCCAAGAGCCCTCCATGCAAGAGGCCCCCGGGGAGCCCAATACGCCGCCAGGGAGCCCCAAGACGCTCCAAGGAGCCCCAAAGAAGCCCCCAAGACGGCCCCAAGAGGCCCCGAATAGCGCTCCAGGGCCAGCGGAATCAGCGAAGCGATTGAATTCGCCGGCCCAACGGGCCAGAGGCGTGCTAAGATCTCCGGTAACTGCTAAATAATACTTCTATTTCGCGCGCGCGGGGCGGCCCCTGGGGGTCCCCGGACGAAAAGTACCCCGGGCGATCCCCGGCAGGGTCGGGTCAGAGATGGTTTTCCTCCTGGGCGCTGCCCCCGTGGCCCTCCAGAGAGCCCCAAGAAGGGCCACGAGGCCGCCAAGAGCCCTCCAAGATGGTTCAAGAGTGCTCCGAGATGCCACACGATCGTTCCAAGACGGCCAAGATGGCCCCCACACGCCCCAAGAGGCCTCCAAGAGCACTCCCCAGGGGGCCCCAAGAGGCAAAATTCATTACTTTTCCGTGAGTTTGGGGCAGATTTTGGCGTGTCCATCTGTTCGGCTTCCCGACGCCCCAGGACGGCCCAAGAGGCCCCCAAGATCGCCCCAAGAGGGCCCAGGAAGCTCCCAAGAAGGCCCCAAGATGGCCCAAGAGGGCTCCAAGACGGCCCCAGAGGCATCCAAGACGGCCCAAGAGGGGCCCAAGAGGGCCCCAAGCGATGCCCCAAAGGGGGAACACAAAACGAAACTTCGAGCCCTCGGCGCTAAGAAGCCCCCAGGAGGCCTCAAGAGGCCCCTGAGAGGCCCCAAAAGCCCCCAAGAGGCCCTCAGGAGGCCCCCAAGCGACGCTGAAGAGGCCCCCTAGCGGCCCCAAGAGGCTCAGTCATGCGAACTGGGCCGGCGGAATGAGCGAAGCGATTCAATAAATACACACGAATAGCCAGATTCCCATATATTTTCCTATATGTTCTGGGTTTTTGTCTTCACCCCCGCTTCCCAAAGTTTCCCGTATTTTCCAGGGGATCGACGATTAATTGTGTCTGTGTTTTTCCCCTCCTGACAGAGCTGGAGCACATGCCCCGAGGCCGGCAGGAGCCACCGAGAGGGCCGACGCGGAGGCGCGGAGACCTGGAATTCGGCGAACAGTTCGGGCGCCCAGCTTCGCGCCGGGCGATGCGCGAAGCACTTCGGACGGGACTGTTCACCACCACCACCACCACCAGAATTAGGAAAGGGGGTTCTCCTTCTGCTCCTCCTCTTCCTCCTCCTCCTCCTCCTCCTCCTCCTCCTCCTCCTCATCCTCCTCCTAATCCTCCACCTCCTTCCCCTCTCCAGCTTGTGGTGGTGGTGATGAAAACCAAGCCCATCAGATGAGAGAAGCACGAGGGGGCATCGGAGCCGAGCCGCGAAGCGCGAAGCGCTGCGTGATTTCGCGCCCTTGGTTGGGGCCTTTGGAGCAAATTGTCCTCCGCTGAGCCTGTTCCCCCCCACAACGTGGCCCCCGACCCTAGGAAAACCGAGAGGTACCGTTACCACTGCTCCCCAGAGTTTCTCCCGGGGTGCGTTCTGACCAGGATTTCGGGGCGAATCCAATGGTGGCGACGAGGGCCTCCGAGGAGGCCGACGAAGAGGAAGAACACGAGCAAAGGGTAGCGGGATGGGTACCTTATCCTCCTCTGAGACCCTCCCCGCCCTCGACCCCCAGGGGCCTGCAGCGAGGAAATCGCCGAACTCCATCGGGGGCCTGCCTGGAGGTAAGCGGGCGCTGGGCCGGGAGCGGGTCCCGCGGGTGCGTCCTCCTTTTCGTCCCCGTCCTGCCCATCCTCATCGGCCCTCCTCCCAGCATCCCCCCTCTCCTCCTCCTCCTCCTCCTCCTCCTCTTCCTCCTCCTCCTCCTCCTCCTCCTCCTCTTCTTCCTCCTCCTCATCTTCCTCCCCCTTTTCCCCCCTCCTCCTCCTCCTCCTCCTCCTCCTCCTCCTCCTCCTCCTCCTCCTCCTCCTCCTCCTCCTCCTCCTCCTCCTCCTCCTCCTCTTCCTTTTCCTATGGTTCCCCTGGTTCCTACCAAGAGGTGGTCCGCTCAGCAAACCTACCTCTACCCCGACTGGGGATCAAAACCCCGCGGCTAACCCATGGCCCGCCAGGAAGGAAAAGAAGACCTGGCGCAGGCGAGGGCTCCAGGAGTTTCAAACACCGCAGCCCTCGAGACAGGAAAAGGGGTCCCGCCCCAGCGGGCGCCTGTCTGGGGATCACGCCCCGCCCGCAGACGTTCGAGGGCGCGGCGAGCATGTCGCGCCGCGTCGCGGCTCTTGCGAGACAGAGGGAGGCAAGGATCGGCAAGGAGCTTTGTCGCTAGCCTGACGACTTCCATGCGTCCCACATGTCCGACAAAAAGCGAAACACCCACCCATCCCAGAGGACTCCCGACCAGACCCGCCCCCACCCCGAGTCACCCACAGCCTATGGGATGGGTGGAACCTGGCGACCAGCCACGGGAGTCCTGGACAGGGGCTCGCGACGACCCTGGCCCTGGAAGCCCTGCGGACCCCACAGACGGCACAGCCCCAGGCCCGCCCGAGCCTCGCCAGAACGTGGCCCCTGTCGAGCCTGACCAGAGCCAGCTCCCCAGGATCGGGACCCCTGGGCCCAGGGAGGGCCCCGCGGTCGGGCCACCCAAGGTCCGCGAGCCTTTCGAGGATCCCCCCGTGGTGGCCGCGCCAGGCCACCGCGCTCTCCGCGGCGGCCTCAGCGCGGCGGCTCAACTCCTGAAGCCGCGCATGTCCAGGATGGCGCCTGGCACCGTCCTTGGCCCGCAGGTCGGCCTCCCTGTTGCCAGCGAAGGCCTGCCAGGACGTGCCCGACGCGCTCGCCCTGGCCCACGAGGAGTGCGAGCGCAGCCACCTCAGTGCGAGGAACTCCGGGCCAGGGTCGTCCAGCAGCCTCCACGCCCGCCTCCAAAGATCGGCGTGCTTGTGCCCAGGGCCACAGCAATGCTCCTTGCCAGCCGCCAGGTCGTCCTTGAGCCCCTTGCAATCCGTGTAGACCGTGATGGGCGAAGGGCCCGCTTCCTCCAAGACGCGGCACAGCGCGTAGAGCTCCGCGTAGCCGATCTCCTGGATCCACCCAGGCGCGAGGCCGAAGAGGCCGCCGACAACGTTCCCGACGTCATCTACCACCACGGCAGCCCAGCCCGTGCGAGTCAGGCACAGGATGTCAGGGTACATCGCAGACCCATCGATGCAGATGGCGCCGTATAGGAAGCCCTGCCTCGCGCACCCTGCGCGGTGGCAGAGCTCGTCCATGCCTGGGGGCGGGGCCTGATCCAGCCCAAGGTTGAGGAGCCCTCTCACCATGCCCTTGTCGTCTTGCGGCGCCATCCTGCCTGCGTCGGCGACCTCCTGGAAGCCCAAGTCGCGCGCCCAGCAGGAGATGGCAGAGCACATGAAGAGCCGATGGCGCGCCGTGCCTGGAGCCTCTCCGCACCGCTGGCACAACGGGCTGATCTCAGCCCTTTCCTCATGCAAGTCGCTCTGCGTGGCGAGCCCTCCCGCCATGCGCGCCTCCACCGGGGCCGCCTCCGGCGTCTTGCCTGCTCGCCGCAAGCCCGCCAGCGCCGCCTTGGGCGGCTCCAGGTCAGGCAGGCGGCCCTTGAGGTGCTCGAACCCGCTGTGGCGCGCGCGACCTTCAGCACGAGGTAACGACGGGCCCCTCTCTCGACGAGGCTGGCCACCATCCGCGGGCTGAGAACCTGCAGGTCGATGATCTGCCCTCGGTCGCCCCCCCAGCGATGCCAGTCCATCATCTCCCAACCCACGCGCTCCAGCGAGGGGCAGACCGCCCCCGCTGGCCACGCGACCTCGCCCCAGTCGCCCGGCCTGCGCCCCGGCACCTTCTTGAAAACCGCCGGCGGCCGCACGCGCAGGAAGATGGCGCGAGCCCAGGCCCTCAGCGGTAGGGCGTGCGCCGCAAAGGCTGGGTCGTGACGCCAGTCCTTGCCTTCCTGCAAGACAAAGAGGACTGCCCTGGACTTCTGGCCGACCTCGCCCGAGATGGCCCTGCCATTGATCGCTCTGGCGCGCTGCAGGGACTTGGTGGGCGCGCCGCTGACCCTCGCGCCATGGAGGATGGACGCTAATCCTCCCGTCCTGAAGACCTTGGAGAGTCGCTTGGCCCCAGTCATGAGGGGCGCCCTATACTGCCCCGCCCTCTGGCTCAGGCGGTTGATCTTCTAGTCCACGCTCAGGTTCTCCGTGGCCTTCTCGTGCGTGAACTTCCAACGCTCGAACGTGGAGACGGCCCGCTTGGCGATCTCAGAGTCGGCGCACAGCACCTGGCCCTTCGTCAAAGAGATAGCGAAGCCGATGTCCTCCAAGTCCAAGCAGAGGGCGCGGGTGGCGCCGACCAAGATGTGCTCGACCTGCGCGCGTTTGGCGTAGACTGCCAGCGTAATGTCGTCGACCACCAAATACGGGCTCACCATCTGCCAGGACGCCAGCAACGCGTCGAAGGGCTTGACCAGCACCACTCGAAGTAGCGTCGTGGCGAATGAACAGCCCGCCAGCAGCGACAGGGAGACCTGGAACGCCTCCGTCTTCCAACAAACCAAGCAGAGGCGTCTCCTGCCCCCGTAGAGCCGAAGAAGGATCTTGATCCTCCGCAGCGGGAAGCCCTCCCTCACCGCGGCGTGGACCACCCCTCGATGAGACACCCTTTCGTAGGCCTTACTCAAGTCAAGGAGCGATGACGCGGCCCCCAAGTTCAACGCCTTGGCGTGGTCGGCGTCGAAGCTCTGCAGCCAAACCGCGTCCTCGCAGGAACGCCCTGCCCCACCGAAGAAGTAGGGCCTGTCCCTGGCGGCCTCCCAGCGCTTCGCCTCGTCGTGTCTGATCTTCCCCAACAATCGGATCAACGAGGCGATCAGGCCGATGGGCCGCCAGCCCCTGTCGGCCTTGGCCAGGAAGAAGATGAAGACCTCGGCCACCTGCGACGGGAACTCCGTCCTCAGCTCGATGAGGTGGAGCAGCAGGCTCAGGGCGAGGACACCGTGGTCCGAGAGCCAGCCGAAGTGGTGCGGCTTGAGGCTGTCCACTCCCATCGCCGTTGCGGCCTTGAAGGTCCTCGCCGCCGCTCGGATGGCGCCGGGCGATGGCAAGCCTGGGGCGTGATCCAGAATCTCGTCAGGGAGCGCCGCCTCCAGGTCGAACTCCTCAAGCTGGTGCCGCCACTCCTTTTCTTTTTCCTCCTCCTCCGCCTCCTCCTCGTCCATGTCTTCCTCCTCCTCCTCCTCCTCTTCCTCCTTCCCCTCCTCCTCCTCCTCCTCCTCCTCCATTCCTTTTCCTCATGCGTAATTAAATGTGTTGTTCCCTGTCGTAGCCCGATGCCATTATTTAGGGCGGTCCGGGCGTTTCGGCTGAGACCTCCTCATCATGTATGATTCCGAAGCTTAAAAATGAACAGCAGCTTCGCACATGGAGGGCGGGTGGTTTTCAAAACGTGGTTCTCGCCTTAGCGCAGCGCGAATTCGCTTAAACATTTGCAAGAGCTTCTTGGATTGAGGGCTCGCCGCAGCGCGGCGCACATTAATTGTTATAATTTTTCCCGAGCTTCACGGATTGAGGGTCAAACTGTGGTTTTCGCATTCGCGTCACGCACGTCCGTCAGCGCACATTCGTTTGACACATTACAAGGGTTCTAGGGATTCCCATCACCAACGTTCCAAAACCGTATCTTAAAAAAGGATTCAGGACTATGCGGGTGCAGCAATTACGTTGGTTCGCTGTGTTCAGTCCCACGAATGGAGTAATGGCACGATTCAGGATCGTCGAGGCGCAACACTCGGGTTCATCCGTTGCGTTGGGATCCCGAGAACAATGTTTTGGCATGCTTCAGGCTCTTCAGACAATTGTTCTCGAACGAGGCAGTTAGTCCCCTTAATGGAAATGAAACGTTGTAGGGGCCCATGAGGGAGCTTGGAGGGGGGATTATTCCAGTATCGCTGGTGACTCTTAGTTTTACACTGGTCCTCCTCCTCCTCCACCTCCTTCGCCTCCTCTTCGTCCCCCTGCTCCTCCCCCTCCCACGCATCCTATCCTCCTCCTCCTCCCCCTCCTTTTCCTCCTCCCCTCCTCCTCCTCCTCCTCCTCCTCCTCCTTTTCTCCGTAGCCATTTTGGCTCAATATGCTTTGTTCCCACAAATAGATAGACACAAAGAACAGGATGCCCCATAGTTTCCCACATGATCTGGGTGTTCGCTTTCCCCCCACTTCCCATCTACTTCCACGTTTCCCTGGGAGTCGACGATGAATTGTGTCTGTGTGTGTTTTTCCCTCCCGACAAGAGAGGAAGCACGATCATTATGTCGGACGTGTCCCCCTACAGGGTGATTTTGAGCGAAAACTAAAAGATGCACCAAAAAAACACCCCAAAAAGGTCAAAACGCACTAAAAAAATTGTCCCCTGACTATCTCTGGACTCTCTTGTGACTATGTTTGGGGTATCTGTTATTTCTCATCGAAAATTCCCCTGTAGGGGGACAGGCCCGACTTAAGTTTAGCGTGGTGCGGCAGAGGGGGAACGGGCACGAGAAAGAAACCAGGGGGGAGGGAAGGTTGGAGGTTGGCGAGGCCGTGTCTCAACACGCGTCGCTTGGACTATCTTTTGACTACTTGTAGGGTATGTGTTATTTTTCATCGAAAATCCCCCCTGTAGGGGGACAGGCCCGACTTCACACGAGCAGGCTCCGCGCGAAGGC